ACATTGTTAAGTGGGAGAAAGAATTCTTTTTCTTTGACAATTGACAATGTTAGAAAAAGTGTCTTATTTAACGCTAAATATATATATGCAAATAGCAGATGAAATAATGGAGGCCGATGCGACAACGACAGGAAGCTGTGTGCCAAGTTTAACGGTATTCACAAACGTGGCTTTGCACTTGAACGATTTTACCTCGTACAAAACAGATACAAATACATACATACAATTTTTCTTTTAACAAGTCACTATAAGTATCGAGTTATCGGTTAACTATATTACATGCATACTGTCACAATTTAATACGCTCATCGCATTGTAATGTTTAGAATTCGTCAAGACACCATAGTACATAGGACATTTACCTCGATACGCTACTTTACTAACAAATCGTTTTCATATCTTTTTCTCTATATTCTATAATATTATACTTCCTGAAAATCCATCTGCCGTGACGAATCAATTTTTTCCACCCTTCATCCCCCGCTCTACTCTTATTTACTAGTACAGTAATTAAAAAACAATCATTTCGACTAAAATAGACGAACATTTTACAATCGAACAATTAAAATTTTTCTGTACTTTTGTTATTTTTGGGCTAATTTACATGCCTCTGGTATTCCGAGAATTAGAAGGTAAAAAATTATTTATAGATTTCTACATTATCGGCTCTTGTTTTTTTAGTTAATTTAGAAGGAAAAAAAGATTTCTACACTACCGGTGGGGGAAATAGTTCCTTTTACGTTACCTACTGTTGGTATGAGTGTTGTAAAAATATTTCACAGTCGGCAATATAGATTTCTGCTTTAAAATGGTTTTTAAATTGTTTTGTTTGTTAAAAAAGAAATTTTAACTTAATTTTCCCAATTCGAAGAAATCGTCATTTCTCTTTGTATTGAAAGAATGAGAATTAAAAAGGCAAAGAGATTTAAAAGTGGGTGAAATAAAAGTGTGAAATAGTGCTAGAATGCGCAATGTTTAGATAAAGTTGTTTAAATGAGGACTTGAACGGATTCCTAGCGTATTACCAGCTTTCTCTTCGTCATCTCTTTTCGTTCATCATTCTTCTTGTTTTGTAGGTAAAAAAGAGGATTTCTCTCCTCCCCCCTCTCTCTCTCTCTCTTTATCTGGCTCTCTTGCGCATTTACGTGCAATGTCCCATATATTCAATTCACTTTGTCGATAATTTTCTTTTCTCTGTTTCTCTCGTTCAAGGCTCGCTATTTCTTATACAACACTCGGTCGGTATTTCAAGTATTCTCGCCATATTGAAAAGCACGAAGCGAGATCAAAACGGTACTTCTTCAAGAACGAAATTATACGTGCTTGTCGTACACCATCATTCAGATTACATAATTAAGGGGCGTGTTTCAAAAGCGGGAGCGAAATTCTTTCATATATATTATACACACGTATAATACACTATTTTCAACGTAGATTTTCTTCATGTTTCGAAATATATATAATTTTTAACTCGTTATGCAAAAAAAAAAAAAAAATATCTCTTATATTGATTTCAAATAAACAATTGCGAGAAAAGTGTTTAAAAAAAGAAAATGTACAGAATTTTCTTACAAATTGTTTTGATTTTCTTTTTTCATTAAACTGTTTTACCGACGGAGCATAGAATGGAATTCTCTATAAAATATATATGTAAATTACTCCAAATGGAATAAAGTTGGTAATTTTTGTCCTAAGCAACACTCACGCCATCTGTATCTACTTTACCGACACTGGGTAAAATCGTTATTTCCCAAATAATAACAAAATATTATACGTAATTATAACAATTTGACTTACATTTAATATCAAATTAGTTGAAATAAAATAATTCTACTATGTTAGTAATAGTATAATTATAATAGTTTAATAGTTTTATTTAAAATTTTTAAAAAATTTATTTTAATTTTTTTTGTTTTTAATTTTTTGTTTTTAATAAGTAGTTTAATAACAGTTCAATTAATTAATTTTTTTTGTAATAGTTTAGTAATAGTTTACAATGGTATAAAATAGTAAAAATTCGAAGTAATAAACAAAAAAATTAATTTTTTCAGTAAGAGTCCAATTTTTGGAAAAACGAAGTTTCCGTTAAAACTTTTCGATATAATTTATACAATATTCCGTTTGATCTTGAATCGTAAAAATGTTTTTCAAAGAAAACTTTTTCCCTGCGAGAGTCGTTGCGGAGAGAAAAAAAAGGGAACGCCCCTATATTTTATCAAAGTGAATACACCTGTATCCGTTAGTTACCTATATAATAAATATAACGAGAAAACGGTTCCCTTTTTAGGTCGATGTCCTATAACCAAACCTTATAATCCCTTTTGACGACTTGAATTGGAAGATTAAGTTCGTAGAGAATAGTCAAAAGAAAAAAAAAGATTACGTTTATTTTTTTTTTTGAAGAAAAAAAACAAAAAAAGAAACAATCATCCCAAACAAACAAATTTTCATGAATTATAAAATTAAGATCTCTATAAATAAGAATTGTAACAAACCGAGAGATTTATAGAAAGTGAAATTAAAAATGAAAATTAACACTTTTTTGATAAATTGACTTTTAATTTGTATACATAACCGGCAACAAATGGGTGTGTGAATCATTTTATTTTTCAATTTTATCAGGTAGTTAAATATTTAATTAAAAAAATTGAATTATACCATAATATTTTTAAATAAGTAAATTTTTTTATACTTTTCGTGAAGACTGTTTATTATTAAATTATTATTATTATTAAATTATAGTTTATTATTTAATACTTAATTATTAAATTTAATTTGCATATTAATAGATTTGTCTATCACTCAATTTGTTTATTATGTAATTTCTTTAAAACTAAATTTGTTTATTATTAAGATTAATTTATTTATTTTTAAGTTTGTTTATTATTTAATTTATTTATTATTTAATTTGTTTGCCATTACACTTCTTTACTACTGCATTTGTTTATTATTAAATTTATTTACTACTAAATTTCTTTATTAATAATTTTGTTTATCATTCAATTAGTTTAATATTTAGTTTGATTATTATTAAATTAGTTTTTTATTCAATATTTTATTATTAACTATGTTTGCTATTCAATTTTTTATTATTTAATTTGTTTATTAATAAATTTTATTATTATTTGACTTGTTTATCATTAAAATTAATATACCAATTTATTGTTAAGTTTGTTTATTATTAAATTAGTTAATTATTTAATTTGTTCTTCATAATTTAATTTTTTTATTATCTAATTAATTTATTGTTAAATTTTTCACTATTTAATTTGTTTACTACTATAAATTTGTTTATCATTAAATTAGTTTATTATTAACTGATTTATTATTTAATTTGTTTATTATTTATTTTGTTTATCATTAAATTGTATACTACTTAATTTGTGTATTATTAAATATACTATTTAATTTGTTTATTAATAAATATGTTTATCATTAAATTTGTTTATTACTAAAATTGTTTATGATTTAAATTAATTTATTTATTATTAAGTTTGTTTATATAATAAAATTAGTTTTTTATTTAATTAGTTTCTAATTTTATTTCTTTATTTTTAAATTTATTTATTAATAAAATTATTATGTACCTAATGTTTTATAATAACAATGATTTTTTTTCAAAAGTAATTTTTCAAAAAAATTTTATCAAAATTTTTATTAAAAATAATAATAATAATAATAATAATTATTATTAATAATAATAATATAATGTGATACGGATAACCTCAAGGTATCTGACAATGATTAGCAGATTTTCCACTTCCCTCGTAAAAAAAATTATAATAATAAAAACCATAAAAATAATAATTTTAATTATGATAAATAAGCAATTAATGATATTATAATGATAATAAATAATAAAAATTATTAATTTTATCAAACACTAAAGCACAATTGAAAATTTGTCTATAAATCAAACTGCGCATGCTCGTATAATTAAACCAAGCAATGGGAAATAAGAAGATTACCAATGGCGCATGCGCAATTATTACACATGCAATTATCAATTGCGCAGTAGCATTTTTGCGTACAAAGAGAGAAGAATATAATTTTATATGAAGTATTTTATTCCATCAGAGTTTTCTGGTTAGGTAAGCAGTGTAAGGATGATGGTTCCGTTTTATTTATAAACAGCTTCTTTATATTGCGTGCAGTCAGAAAAGTTGAACGGGTTGAACGCCTCTTGAAGTGCAACAGAACTAATTCGAATTGCACTTACACCTTTATTGTCATTTATATTTACTTGTTTACTCATTTTTCATTATTTATATATATTTCTTTATTTTCTTGTTTATTTATTTAATTAAAAAAAATTTTTAATAAAAAACAATTAAATACATAAGTATTTAATTCTTTTCTATTATTTATTCTTAATAATAATCAATTTGACGGATGAAGAAAGATGTTCCTAAGAAGCAAGTAACCTTAAGGTTATGTTTGCGTTCTTTTGACTTTAATTAAAAATTTCTATGTTTAATTTAAAATCAGAATTAGTTTATATTAATCAATTTTTTATGTATAGTGAAAGCAAAAAGTGATTGTCACTGGTTTATAATTTAAAAAATCTTGTATTTTGTTTTTAAAAATTACCAAACATAACCTCAAATCATTTTTGCTTCTTAGATAACTATATCTTTCTTCGAAGTGGGTTACAAGTATTCATTTTTAAATAAATAGTTACTTTCGTATTGCTTTATTTATGTATTTATTAGTTTAATTATTTATTGATAAAAATCCTACATTCGTAGACATTAAAATTATTAGTAATTTTATGACAGCATTAAATTTTTTTTAACACACATTTTTAGTTTTATATGAAATACTTGTTAATATTTGTTAGTAAATTAAAAATAGAAGATTATTATAAATTATAATTATCAATTATTCTTGTCATATAAATTTATATTTTGAAAATAAATAAAAAATTCTTATTATCCTTTTTTTAATAGAAGAATATTATTTTTTTTTGTTTATTAAAAGAAGGATAGTAAGAATTTTTTTTATTAGATCATTTAGAATTTTTGAATTGATAATTATTTATACTATTAATTCATCGCACAATGTTGATTTTTTTTAATTCCTTTTTCTATATTTGATAGTAATGAACTTCTACTGTTTTCTTCAGAATAAAAATATTCATATTCCAAATGTAATACAATAATATGCAAAATACTTTTTAAATAGCATTTACTGTACCGATCAATAAAAAAGTATTTTGGAAAATATATGTAATAGCTACTAAAAAGATCATAAAGCGTTTCAAATAATTTTCTATTTTCCGTTAATAGTGGCAGACATTTTGAAGTTAAATTTTTCATATCGTCATTTATTTCTTGTAGCGAATATGGTAAACTCAATATAAAGTTTTTATGCAAAAAGTGAATCTGAGTTGCTGTTTTTAAAGTCAAAGATATTATTTTCCTAAAATTCTTTTCATTACTTAATGAATTATAGTTTACAGATTTTTCACTGCATTCATTACTATTTAAAATCATCATTAAATATTTAGTTACCATAGTCAACTGACTTTTGAATATTTTATTTTTTTCACGAAGCGCAGAACTGTTAATCACTGGTATCAAATAAATGCTTTTGGTGTCTTTTGGATTATCTTTCATTTGAAGCTGCAAATAGAAAACATTTTTAAATTTTTAATACCAAAAATTTTTTCGTTTATAAATAAATATAATGTATTTAAAACATTTGCTATTATATGATTATAAAATATGAATAAAATGAATAATTTTGAAATTACCTCAGAACGACAATCAATCAATTTTCCTAATTTCTCATCTATAATCATGCTCAAATTAATTCTATTAATGAAATTATTTCCTGATAAATAAAAATTATAAATAACTCTCTTTACAGAATTGAATTGCAAGAGACTATCAGCGTAGCATTCATTGTACGTATCATTATCTAGGTTTTTTGGAAAATTTTTCAAATACTCATCGAAAAATTTATGAAGAGTTCGAATTGTCGTTTTTTCTCCTTTTGCTTGTAATCCACATTTTATTGGCATTAATTTTAACATTTCTTTAGTTATATTAATCTGTGGTTGCTCCTTTAAACTAAAATTGTAGCCATTGTACAAATAATAATAATCAATTGCACTTTTAGAAAGTAATTGATGCATAGCGAGAAAATTTGATTTTTCATCATTTAAACTAACATTGTCCTTAGAAATAATTCTGCAATCGTGTGATTTGAAATTATTTTCTAAGTAATCAGTCATTATTTTAATTTGCTGTTTTAGTTCTCCAGTTTTTTCATCAAATGCTTTGTAGTCAGTGTCATAATTATTCTTTTTGATACTTCTTTCAGTTCCATTATTCTCATACATTGATGTATTTTCCATAAATTTTAGCTAATGAATAATCAAAAATTAAATTAAAGAAGAGAAAGTGATATCGAATGGAAAATTTGAATAATACAGAAATTCGAATCAGATTTTAGTTAAATATTTTTTTATACCTCTTTCGTAGTTTCCACAGTAATATTGAGAGGAACTTCTGTATCTTCATCATTTTCTTTAGTGAATGACACTTTTTGATACTCATAATTTTTATAATAATTAATTATTCCCACATTGATCAAGATAACAATGCCTAATAATTGCAAAGTCCATTCACCAACCATTTTAACACTATTTCAATATATAGCACAACTTTATGACAAATTAAAAAAAATTTCCTTAAATAAGTGTCACAAAAAAATGTTGATAGGAAAAAAACAAAATTTTTCCACTATATAAGCTTGAAGCGAAAAATTTTACCAAATTTTGAACCGAATTTACCAATTAGAATGCAACACGATAATTTTACATTAGCAAATAATAATGCAATCTAGTGGACAAAATGTAATATAGCCACAAGTTTGTAATTTTTTATTTATATTTTTGATAATAGTCAACATTTTTATTACAAAATTTTAGTATTTTTCTGATATTGAAAATGCAAGTTTTTTAAAAGAAGAAACAATTTTTGGAGTTTTATATTTTAACTGCTTTAAAATATTTGTTATTTAAAAAGATGAGAAGAAAATAATTTTTTAATTTGTGACGTTATAAAATTTATCATTCTACAACTCGCAAAAATATATTAATTATTTTCTGCTTAAATCATTTTTTCAATGATTAATTTTCTGTCCTTGAATTAATAATATCACGAGAGCTCGAGATTGGTACGGATTTCAAAAATCACAAACATAACCTTAAATTTTTTTGCTCCTTAGACAACTTCTTTCTTCGAAGAGCTCGTTATAAGTAATAATTTATTATAAATTAATATATACTTTCTCATTCTTACGTTTATATATATTTATCAATATTTACTTATTTATTAAAAATAATCATATTCGTGGGAAATTAAAATTATTACAAATTTTATAGAAACATACAATTTATTACATAAATAAGAAAGAATTCAATTTATTTCTTAATTCGTTATAAAATTTTTCAAAAGAATTTAATTATCTTCTAAAATTGTAATAAATCCTTCGAAACAATTCAATCATTTTTATAAATAATAAAATCCTTTGCAAAAATTCATTTATTTTTAATATTTTAATAAAATTTCATGAAAGAATTCAATTTTTTTTTTTATTAATTTTTAATAATATTTTTCGAAAACATTTAAAATATTTTTAAAAATTTTAATAAATCCTTCGAAACAATTCAATTATTTTATTAATTTTTAATAAAATTTTTCGAAAGAATTCAATTATTTTCTAAAATTTTAATCAATCCTTTGAAGCAATTCCATTTGTTTTATAAGTAGCAAAATTCAACGCAAGAATTAAATTATTTTTTATAAATAATAAAATTCTTCTCAGAAATTCAATTCCTTTCAATAAAAATTTAATAAACTTTAATAATCAAATATTTATTTATTTATTTATTTAAATCTATAAAACGGGCATGAAAAGCCCTTTGCAAATAATATTTACAAATTTAATAAACTTTAATAATCAAATATTTAATTATAATTATTAAAAAACATGATTATTTTAGAAAGTTGAAAAAAAATTCTTTGTTTAATTCAATTATTATCAAAAACTATACATTTAAAAAAAAACTTAAAGAAATTTTTCCAAAGAATTTAATTTTTTAAACAAAAACTTTAATAAAATTAAAAAAAAAATAAAATTATTAAAATTAAATTATTTACAAAAGTTTAACATTCTATCAATAATTTTAATAATATTCAATAAATAAATATTTAATTTCAATTATTAAGAAACTCGATTATTTTAAAAACATGAAAGAAATTGTTCATAAAATTTAATTACTTTCAAAATTATCAATTTATTTAAAAAAAAAATTCAATGAAATTTTTCATAAAGAATTTAATAAGGATTTTCAAAAATTTTCAATTTATCACAATGATGTAATTTTTGCAATCCTTTTTTTATGTTTGACTGCAATGAAATTCTACTGTTATCAAGTAAAAAATTCACATAATCGATATTTAATATATCAATTTGCAACATACTGTTTAAATAGCATTTACTGTACCGATCGGGATAAAATTGTTTTGGAAAATGTGTGTAATAGTTATTAAAAAATTCATAAAGCCTTTTAAATATTTTTCGTTAATAGTGGCACACATTTTGAAGTTAAATTTTTTATTTTTTCATTTATTTCTTGTAGTGAATTCGCTAAAGTTAATATAAAGTTTTTATGCAAAAAGTGAATGTGAGTTGCTGCTTTTGAAATCAAAGATATTATTATCTTAAAATTCTTTTCATTACTTATTGAATTATAATTTCTAGAATTTTTATTGCATTCAGTACTATTTAATATCCTGTTTAAATATTTAGTTACTGTTTCCAGTTGATTTTTGAAGAGTTCATCTTTTTCATGAAGCGCAGAACTATTAATTATTGGTGACAAATGAATCATTTTGGTATGTTTTGGTCTATCCTCATTTTGAAACTGCAAATAGAAAATAAATTTTTAAATTTATAAAAAAAATTTTGCTTTATCAATAAATAATATAATATAATTGCTATTGTGATGCTAAAAGATTTATTAATTTCGTGATTACCTTATAGGTACAATAATTCAATTTTCTTAGTCTGGACACTATAATTCTATTCAATTTATCTATATAAATGTGATTTTTTGGTAATAAATAAAAATTGAAAATTTCTTTCTTTATTGATTCGAATTGTAAGAGACTATCAACGTATAGCATTCGCTATACGCTTCATTATATCGGTACTTTTTGGAGAATTATTCAAATACTCATTGAAGAAGTTATGAAGATTTCGAAATGTCGATTTTTCTTCTTCTGAGTGTAATCCACATTTTATTGGCACTAATTTTAACATTTCTTCGGTTATATTATCCTCCGGTAAACTAACATTATAACCATTGTAAAAATAGTAATATTCAATTGCACTCATACAAAGTAATTTATGCATAGCGAGAAAATTTGATTTTTCTGTATTTAAAGTAAGTGAACGATTAGAAATTTTCTTGCATTCATGTGAATTTAAATTTTCTTCTAAGTAATCAATCATTATTTTAATTCGCTTCCTTAATTCTGCATCTTTTTCATCACTTTTCTGAGTAAATTCAAATTTATTATCATCCGGACAGCAATTAATGAATCCCACACCGATCAAGAGAATGATACCGAAAAATTGTAAATTCCATTTATTACCAATCATTGTTACACTTCTTTAATATCCAAACTTTATGAAATTTCAAAATTCGGAAGAAAATTCACTTCTTTGAATGAGAAAAAAATAATTTTGGAAAAGAATAAGAAATATAATTTTTGACTATAACTTATTCGACGTGGCGAATTTAAAAAAATTTCGAAATGCAACGCACGATAATATTTTACAGTAAAAAACAAGATAATTTATTTCATAAAATAAGTAATTTCACTCACGAGTTTCAAATATTTTTTTTTATTCATTGTTGATAAAAATAAAGAATATGTAAATTTTAATTTCATTTTAGTATTTTTTCTGATATTGAAAATATATTTACTGTTTGCGATTTCAACTTTTGTAATATTCTACTAAGTTAATACCATTCTACCCCGTAGGAAAATGTCACTTTACCCCAAATAACCCCAATGTTCCTTTATAATTGATACCTATATATATATACATTTAATTTTACTACATAAATTCTTTTTATCATTTTCGTTGATTTTTGATATCTTTTTTTTGTACTAAAAATATTGTTGAAAGGAAAAATAGAATTCCTAGAGAACTTGAGAGACGTGCGCCAATAGGAGGGGAGTTGAAAATGAAAAATTCGAGTTTATTGTGTATTTAGTTTACCAACTACCGCGTTCTTTTAATTTACATTGCCGACTTTTCGTTACTTATGGCACATTTACGACTTTTGAATCTCATAATTCCTTTTCAAGATACAAGATGCATCATGAATGGACCACAAAGTTCCTTATGCTCAATTATTACATATATTGACGTTTTATGACTTGGTAATTATCCTACCATATGAGAATTTTACAACAAAAATTGTATTTTCCGACATAAAACTCGTTAGATAATAACAAAACAAAAACTCTTACTAAGTATAAGTGAAAAAATATCTAAATTGCGTTCAAATGAAAATTTTTGCTAACTATTTAAAATTCCCTTTTTTATGACAATATTACCCCAAAAATTGACAACTTCACCTCAAGAGCTGCTAAAATCGTTTTTTTTTTATTACTAATTTACCCTAAAATCATTGACATTACCCCACTGCCAAATTTTACTTTTGGAAAATTTCACATCACTTTTTTAAAATCCCTATGGGGTAATACTGTCACATACCACTAAAAAAAGACCATTTTTATTTATTTATTCAATTTATTTAATTTTATATATTATTGATAATTTTACCCTCGTACAGTGTAAAACAAACTTTTAAACCATCACATTAAAATTAAATTTACGACCACAATAATTTTACAGTCTAATTACTTTGTTAGAGTAAAAAAGAAAAATATTGCAGATAATGAATAATAAAAGAATAAATATATTTTATGGAGGAAGAGAGAAAAAAAATTGATAATTAACAATTAAAAATGTAAATTTTCAAGATTATTAAATTTTTCATTTTCTAATTTAGAAAACAATTTACGATACTATCGCGAAATATATTATATTTAATTCTGCCCCCAGTGATCTAATTACTTTACATAATAAATCATTGAAAATATTTCCTGCAAGCGTACCAATTATTATTATATGCTATCAAGTCAATATTCAATTTATTCTAAAAAATTAAATTATAAAGCGCACTTCCTATCCAAGCGTTAAAATCACCACTCCACTGTGACGCGTTAACCGTTTAGATTCGTTTTCTTAAAAAAAAACACTCAAAATTAAGTATTAATTTAATGAATATCAAATTTAAAAAAAGTATTTATTAATTATTATTTATTAAACTTTCTTTCAAAAATAATAAAATGTAAAACATTTAAAAAGTGTACAATAAATAAATAAGGTCAATAATACAAATAATAATATTAACAATAATATTATTAACGATTATAATAAATATTAATAATATTATTATTGAATAATAGTAAATAATAATAAATATTAATAAATAATAATAAATAATAATAATAAATTGTTAATATTTAATAATTATTAATTATATTTAATTACATGAAGAATTATTCCAACAGAGAATTGTTAATAATAATAATAATAATGCTAATAATATTGCTTTAGAAATAATTTTAAAAAGTATTTGGAATTTTCTTTTTGTTAAAAAGAGAGCCATAAGTTTCTGATAGGTTAGACATGCGCGTGGAATAGTTTGCGCATCTGAAGCATGCGCAGTAGAGTATAAAGTCACTTTCAGTTGCGCACACGCATCTCAAGCATGCGCAGTAGTACTCAGACCACTTTTCAACTGCGCAGTAACTTTTTACGTATTATTATCGTGCGCAATGGTATTTTAAGTCATTTTCCTTCTGCCCACTTCACTTTTTTTTACAACTTTTCTTTTTTTTTTACTTTCTGTTTCTCTCATATGTAACATTGTTGACAACTTTTCATTGCAGAATGTAAATTTTTTGAATTCTTTTTTTAAAGTAACTTATTTAATAAGTTTTCTGTGAATGTTAACTTTTTTGACAGCAACTTTTTTGCGTGAGAAAAATCAGATGAAAAGTGATTTGTTTTTAATTGAAAACAGGTTAATTTAATTTTTTTTTTTTTTTGCATTAAAATAACAGGAGGGAGATAAATTAAAAAAATAAAAAAAATTTAAAAACAAAAATGAGCGCACACGATTTACTTGGGTATTTATTGTGGTTCGAGACCGGTCTTCGACACCCATATGCCTACTTCGTGCCACGGGCTTTTTTGACGCATCGATTCAAGATCCTTTCCTCGTGGCAGGAGGGCATAAAATGCACACCTAAGATGCCTACCAACTGGTCTCCGCTCGAGTAAAATCGGTTCAACTCGTCGTAGTCCAGGTACGATTCGTGTTACCTGAAAGTGCCTGAAAGAAAATATATATATATATATATTTCTCTTTTCTGCCATTCCCTTCCAAGTCTCGTTCAATTCCAGGATCGACTTCAATTTTGTCTGCACCCACACTTTCGATATTTTTTTTTTTTTTTTTTACAAAACTAAGTTTCTATTTATATTATTATTTTATATTATTCGTCTTATTATTTATACTATTTTAATTATTATCTATATTGTTTTAATTATTTTTTTTTATATTTGTATTTTTATATTTTTCACCCCCACCCCTCTCTCTAAATAAAAAATTCAATTTCCCACTAGTTCCAGAAAAAAAAAATTGGAATTTTTACCACAAAAAAAAATATTTTATTTACTTCTTTTCAAATATATTTCGGTTGAGAAAAAAATTTTAATTATTCACGATTTCTTATTGTATTTTGAAAAAAGAGTTGAATTATTTTTTACGTAACGTAACTTGAGATTATTTTGATATAATAAGAGAAAAAAACATTTTTTTTGGAACGGAATGTTTTGTTTAAGAAAAAAACATTTTTTTCTTCTCTTTTTTTGTATAATGTATAAAAAATATTTTTTTTTTTTAATGTCCAACATATATAATCGATGATTTTTATTAAACGTGTGAGAAGAACTTTCTCATTTTTTTCCTCTCGATTCCGCCAAAGGCTACGAACTTGACATAAAAAGAAAAAAAAAATTTTTTAATGTTGTAAAAGTTATTGAGAATTAAAAAAGAATTTTATTTCATAATGAGAAAGAATTATAATTATTTTAATATTTAAAATTATAAATTATATTTAAAAATTTCTTTTTACATTCCGACAATGTAATATAATTTACGTACTGAATTGACTGCGTTCATTAACGAAATTTTCATTCAAAAATGTAATATAGTTGAAAAAAAAAATTTTCGTAATTTTACGATTATTATTTTTTTTTTATTGAGAGATTATTTTCACTTACAAATAATTATTTTTATTATTTTTATAAAATTATTACTGTAATTCTTAGTATGAGAATAATTATAAAAACTAATTATCATAAGATTATTTATTTATATTTGTTATTAGAAAACTAATAATAATTACCACTATTATTAATTATTAAAATAATTTTAATTTTATAATTATAATAATAAATGTTAATATTTTCTTTACTTTAAAATAAATTAACGTTAGCAGATTTTTCACTTCCCTCATAAAATTTAAAAAAAATGATTATTTTTATTATTATTGTTTCTTTCAACACTGTTTATGATAAAAGAATTCGTTTTTTTAAATATTAAACAAATTAACAAAACAGTAAACAAAAAATATTAAATATGAATTAATACGGGGTAAAAATGAATCGTTTTACTCCCGGTCTTTTGGAACTATAAGGACTCTTGCTTATTCATTATATATATATTTTTTAATAATTATCATTTTATTATTATTTTTATAATAATTTTATTTTCTCCTACTAATTAATTAATTTTTTAAACTTGTCGAAAAAAAGTGCCTCAAATTTTATAAAATTTGTAAAAAAAAATTTTTTTTTTATTATTATTTTTGAGAATAAATATATATTGTTTGGAATTATTTTTCGAGGGAGAAAGGTGGCATGTCCGGTACTGAGAGTTTATCCTCTGGCTACAGGACGTCTTGAACACGAACAGGTTGAGCCGTTCACCAAGCAGGGCCAAGACAGTGCCGATTCTTCAGTCTCGAATCGGTGGGCCGGAGGGAAAGAGCTCCGTGACCCTTTTTAATAATTTAAAAAAAAAAAAAAAATTTCCCTCTCATTCATTTTGGTGATTATAAAAAAAAAGTAGACAATTTTAAAAAGCATTTTTTTATGAAAAAAAAGTTTGTGTTACAAATTTTTGTTTTTTTTATATAATTATAAAATTAAATTTCGTTTATATTTTGTCAATTGTAATTAATTTGACGATAAAAAATAAAATACGATTATTGCAAAGACCGATTTGTTTTTATAAGTGTGCAGTGATACCCGGGGAGAGATCACTATACATATAGAATTATATATGTAATTTGTGATTCTTCTTTTGGTTTTTACTTTTTTTTTGTCGTTCGAGTTTTTACGAACACGTCGATGTTCGCCAGAATAAGGACTGTCTCGTAGAACGTGGGTGTGAATTTAAGGATATAATCCAAAAAATAAAATAAACGTAAGTTTTAGATAAAAAAATAAGTAAAAATTAAAAAATTATTAACAATTTAGTTTATAATTTTATTTTAAAAAAAAATTATATTAATAATAGCAATAAGTAACAATTTTTGAATTACTACAAATTTTTTTTAATACTATTACATGGGAAATTATTATTTAACATTAAATTTATAAAAAAATGAATGGCACACAGGGTAGAAAGGAACCGTTTTACTCCCTATCTACTAAGACAATATGGAAAATTAGATTATTGTTATTTTTGTGATATTACATTTATTATTATTATTTTTATTATTGTTATTATTAATATTAATAATTTTTTTCTAATTTATATTGTTATTATCGAAAAAATATTTTGAAACTAAAAAATTTTAAACACGAACCACATTGAGCGTTTACTGAACTTTTTCCATCCTTCGCGTGCTCTCGCAGAAAAGGGTTCCGCCAAGGAAATGAAAAAGAAAAAAGAAATGAGAATTATAGTTTGGTGAAGCTCCAGTGATTCTATCGTGGAAATTTCGTGCACCTGATGAAAAAAAAATCCTGAGAAAAAAATTTACCACACACTTGCAATATAATTTCCTAATGAAATTTTAATCTTTAATAATTTTTTACACTTAAAAAGGAGAAATATTTTTTTATATTTATTTTTTAAAAATTAACTACAATTATAATTGAATAAGAAACTGCAATAATAAATCAATTTATTTATTTAAGAAATATACAGAACGAACTTTTATATATTATTTATAAATAATAATAATAAATAATATTTACTTAATAATTTATTTATTATTTATTAGTAAGAAAATATTAATATTAACAAAAGTAGTTAAAATAATTATTGTATAATTGTAATATTAATAAACATTATAAAAAAGAGAAAAAATAATTATAATCATAATTATAATATAATAATAAATAATAATAGATTATAATCATAATCGTAATAAATAATAATGATAATAAGTATTAAGAATAACAATGTTTTAAACAATTTTAATAAACAATGTTATTAATAAAAATACTAAAAATTTACTTTAAATAAATTTTTATGTTTTTTATAATTGACATAATTTAAAAAAAAAATTTTTTTACAATACAAAATTATTTTTTTTTCTATATATTTATTTATATATTTATTATGAAAATATTTCAAACAGTTACAATTTCTATAACACGGATTTCATAAATAAATTTTTGCTAAATTGAACTTTTGCCATAGAAAATTGACCCAGTTTCTTAATCTTGTTCTATAAAATGTTGGCTCTATCGCTCAGCTTCCTTGATTAGCTTTCTTTTCATTTCCATGTTTAGCGAGATAATGTTGCGTCTATTATTTTTCGAACTAAATTACGTTTTTTATTATGAGGGAAGTAAAATTTTTTTTTATTATCACTTTTTGTTTCTCTTTTTTTTATTATTACAAAATACCTCCATATTTTTATTTTCTGTTGTTAGTTGATGTTATTATTATTATTATTGTCATTGTTGATATTATTTTTATTATTTTAAATTTATTTCATATTGTTACTAGTATTAATTTTTTACTTTTGATTTTTACTACTGAGGTTGCTTTCAAGTTTGCACTACATTAATTATTTATTGTTGATTTAATATTTCTAATTAATTAATTAATTTTTTAATTGATTAATTTATTAATTAATTTATCGATTGATTAAAGTTTGTAATTGTATTAATAAATTTTGATTAAATAAAGTCACTAATAGTTATTAATTCATTTATAGGATAAATTTTTTGTAATTTTAAATTAATTAAGTACTAAATAAAGAAATAATAATAAATATTGAATAAATAATAATTAATTATTATGTTTACTATATTCTTTTGTTAACACCATTAACACTATTTGTTTTCTGTTTTCTACAACATTTTTGCCGTTTTTTTTTTATTTTTTATTATTTAAAAAAAATAAGAGAGAGAGAGAGAGAGAGAGAGAGAGAGAGAGAGAGAGAGAGAAATGAAAATTTTTTCCATGAAGCTCGTAATTAGTGCTTTGATATGCACTAAAGCAGAAAAAATGGCAGGCAACGAACTCGTATGCACGAAGGAGAATATATCCAAGGCGTTCGTTGTATATAGAAACGGTCAAGGAACGTCTACCTTTAGACGCTTCAACTTTTCTCTTCTCTTGTGTATTATATCGCAACGCCCTATCGTTTCTGGTTAGATAGGCGCTTGAGTAGGTCTCGGTGTGAAGTTAAAATAGGTACACACAATATGTAGGTGCAAGATGTACGCGGATATCCTCAATTTAATTTTATATTCACTTGTCTGTCGCAAAGTTAGAAAGAAAAATTTTACTTTGTCCGTTAAAAGAAAAATTTAAATTCTCCAAATTCTTTTTGTAAAAAAAATTTTCCTATTAAAACAATTTTCTTTTAATAAAAACAAATTTTATTTCATTTTTTTTTTAATTAGAAAACAGTATTATTTTAATTTATTTATTTGCAATAATGTCTTTTATCGGAAAAAATTTCTTTTAGCAGAAAAACTTTTCTAATATATCAGAATAAAGTTTCGTTTGTCAAAAATAATTTTTTCCTGTAATTAAAAATAAAATAAAATTATATTTTAAAAATTGATTTTGTTTCTCTTACCTGATGTAATTCTCCTGCACCTCGTGATCTTCGAAAAAGAATCTTTTTCAATACGATTTGGTTTTCACATACACTAACCGTTTTAACCCTACGATTGTAAATCTTCTTTCACTTTATTATTATTTATGACTCAAAGAATCACTCATTTTTAAAAAGTCGAAAAAGTTTCTTTAAAAAACATTGCTAGTTAGTAGCACTAAAAGTCTAAAATGACTAAAATTTACCAGACCGTGAATATAACCTCAAAAGTATTGACAGCAAAACTTTTTAGTTTAAAGAAAAATAGCCAATAGAACAAGTCCAAAAGATTATTATTACTATATGCATTATTTTTATTATTATTATTATCATTATTATTATTATCATTATTTTTATTATTATTTCTACTATTATTCTAATGAATATAAGTTAGTGTGATTTTTTTTCTTTTTGATCACTTTTACAAAATTCAACGTCATAAACTAGAAACTATATAGAAATTCTTCAACTTTTCAAAGTCGTGGCCAAAACCGGAATATGTTTTCGAGAATTCCAGTTACCCAACTCTGGTTACTTGTCATTTAAACGACACATAGAGTTTACTGCGCTTTTAGAAAAAAAAGACTGATTTTTCTTTTTTTTTGTCTAACAGTATTTATTATGGATATAAATAATTGTTTGTAGTATGTATATATACACACACAAATAGTCATGCGTGGAAACAATTTTAGAAAGTAATCTCACCTATAAATTAACTGAAAGTTATCAACTGTCTATCACTGAAAATTGTCTGCTATTATCAACAAAAGGAAAATTAAGAAAAATCACTTTCTCATTTTACTCTGACTGGGTTTTAATGATTCTCAACAGAAACTGCGTTGTCTTGAGGCGACAAAGATTTCTTGAAATCGCGTGATCCTTTCGAGAGAGCATTTTCTCTCTCTGTCTCTGTGTGTCTCTCTCTCTTTTTCTCCGTCTCTTGAATTTACATAACCCTAGAAATGTTAAAGAGCAAAAATTGGCGAAAGTTAATATATAAATTAATAAATTTTTGTACGCAGACTTCAGAAGTAAAAACTTATAGGTTATGTTTTTTTCCACAATATTATTATTGTCCTTACTTGTTTTTGGTAATTATTATTATTATTATTATTGCAAAAAAGAGATCTTTTTTATTATAGCTTTATGTACTTTTATGGTCTTATGGAAATTAGAGGTTATGATTAATAGTTCAGTTCGACTATCGAGATATGCATGTGATTGGTAGATTTTTTTGGGATTCACCTCTTTTTGCGGAAGATGAAAAATGTCGGGAACAGTGGCGGGAAATTTAAAATTCGATTTTTAATGAAATCTTTTTAGTCATGTAAATTAAATTCAATCATATTTATTCTATTGCAATATATTAAATTATACGTATAGGTATCAATATTAGTGAATTATTATTAATTTATTAATTTCTAATGTAATAACAATAAAGATTTTATTATTTAAAAATAAAATGAAAGACCAAATGTTACAGCTTTGAATGACTTTCATTTATTTATTGCTATTATCACTATATTGTTATTAATATTCATATTGTTTTTTAATATTACAATTATTTTTCTTATTTGAATTTTTTAAAATTACTTTTTACTATTATTACCATTTGTCTATTTATTTATAGACTGGTCTTGATAATTATTGTTATTATTATTTTATATACAGATACATTTTTTTTGAATAAATACTAAAATTCCGGAACTGAAACTCTAGACGAATTCAAGTAATATGATTTCTTGCTTCCTCATATTTTAAGAAAAGTGAAAAAATAAAATCACAATAAAAGACCTTGACTTACACTTTTACTAAAAGCATAATGATTCTCAAGTTTGTGACAACAAAACTTTAACAATACAATTTTCCGTGACTTCCCTATTGTCTTTGTTCCGGTCTGAAGATTCTTTATATTTCTCCTTTTATTTTAAGTATCTTTTTTTTAAATTATTTTTTTCCTTTATCTAAACGAGTCAATGTTAATGAATCTTTTCTAATTAGAAGTTTTAGTGTATTTTGTATAATTGGTCTAATAAATTCTTCTTAATTATGTCAATGTTTATTATATTTTTTGTGTGAAGGAAAATATTATATAAATGTATAATAATATAAACATATATAATAATATTAACAATAGCAATAACAATGATAAAAACAATTTTATACTAATAATAATAATAGTAAAATAAAAATAAAATAAAAATAAGAATAATGTAATAACAAAATAATGTAAAATATAATTTATTTAAATCATTTTTAAAAATGTTTTTTCTTATCATTAAAATAGTATTTTTATGCGGATCGCAACAGTAAAATTATATTATATTTTTTAGCAATTTAAAATATTTCAGCTTAATTG